TTGGGAAATATGTTTGTAGCTTTGTTGTATCCACCGATCCATATTGGTGTCTTTCAAATTAAGACCAACTGAATAAGTTCCCTATTACGTTATGGCTGAACTCCTAGAACTTTATGTTTCTATAACTTCTAAATAATTTCTAAAAGTCTTAGACATTTCTCAGAAGCGAGCCGGCGACCCTGGTAACAGGATGAGCACCAACTGCTGTAATCAGCGGTCACTTAACATCACTCAACTTGCCAAAGATTTAAAGCACCAAACACCAAATAGCTCTAGCAAATCTGAAATCTGCAAGCACTTAAGCCGTGTCATTAACTACTGCCTGTCTGCAAATGCTGACATGAGTTATTGACAGCGGTCCTCGAGGGCGGCGGTGAGCAAATTACAGATCTGGGGACGCCAAAACAAACTATCCCCCTTGTTTAGTAAATATTCATAGGGAATATTCTTCAGAGCTAGAATTACACTTGCAAATCCGTCCGCGAAGTGTATTAACCGCAGTTTACAATATTCCAGACTTTACGATGTGCCACCGAAGATGGTTCAAAGGCGGCGACACTGTTAACGCCTTGTAAATATTCCGGACTTTCAGGAAGATTGTTTGCTGTCCAAATTTGGGCGACGAAAAAAATGTGGTATGTTGCCAAAGGTCGATAACTTCTTGATCAGCATTGTACGTGTTATTAAACCGATTTAATTCATCTTTTGAGTCCAATGATGATTGTAGTGTCCAAACACAATCGATCTTTTATCTTTTCACCATATTTTATATGTATACGTATGTCTTGTGAGTTGACAGTAAAGTAAGTAAGTGAGTTGACAGTGTGATTGGTGTTTCAAGTGTTATTAGACGAATTTCTATTTGCTTTTCGCAAATGTCGTTAAATAGTTAAATCTTGAAGTTTTTCTAAATGATAAATATGTAGGTTTTTTAGGTAGTTTTCGCTTTTAATTTGACATAGTTTTGTTTTTTGTGCGGATTTTGTTGAGTTATCTTTTTTACGGAAATGTTTAAACTTGTTTTGAACTAAAAGATGTTGAAAATTAGTAAAATAATAGGAGATATAAGTAAAGAGCTTGTCATGTTAGTACAGCTTTCTAAGAGAATACCATGGGGAACTACTCGTTATGTAGGCTCTGATCTTACTGATCTAAAATTTTCTGAAAGGTAAACCAAATACATTTTAGTAAGGGATCTTAAAAGGTTTAATTTATGAAATTTTAATATAAGAACACGATTTCTATTACTGTATCTTGAATTGAAGATGTAGATTTTTATTTGTTTTTTTATCAATACCATTGAAATTGTTTAATTTTTGTAAGGGAATGTTTCAAACACTACTTTGTTACTATTAACACCAACCTTTTTAGATAGCATCATAAAATGAGCCCCCAGTGACAGTGGAATCTAGGTAGAGAATCTATCTCGGGTGGAATAAAACCAGCGACCTTCGGATTGATTCCAACTGCGTCTGGGTCGTCCTCTCTTTCTTTTCCATGGTGGAACCCATCCAGAACTCGTCGTGGGAGTCGGCCCTCGTCCATACGATTTACATGGCCAAACCAGACTAACTGTCTCTTTTGCACTTCATCTACTATGTCTTTATCAACTTCCATTTCTCTTCTTATATCTTCGTTCCTCCAATCTCGTCTACAACTCCTCCTGAGCACATACATTTCTGTAGCCAACAACTTTCAAATGTTTCTTTGCTTCAAATCCCAGACTTCTGACCCATATAGTATCACACTCTGCATAGACTTATAAATTCTCTAGTTTTCTTTGAAACCCCTCTATCCCACCAAACAGTATTACTATTGCTCGCAGTAAATATTACACTGTCTATTTCAAAGCAGAACGCCATTTTCTCTGAAAACTCATTATGCGAACCTGAATAGAGCTCATTTGTAATGTCTTCTCCAACTCACCTTTACGAATACCAAACCACTTCTGTAAAAACCTTCAACGTTAGAATAGGTTAAATGGCTACTAACCGAGAATCGTCTAATAACTCGAACGCGCGACTGACTTTTTAATTAAACTGACACTTTGTAATTACAGCAGACAGTGCGCTTTCAGCTGATTATATTTCTTGACTTCCCGCTATTTTCATTACAGCTGTTTTTGCTCGTTGATACAACAGCTGCACTTTGTTTACACTGGCGAGAAAATTGAAACCGAGACCGTTGCGACTGGTTGGCTGTCATGTGTGAATGGTTGCTGCTAGCTCAAACGCTTCTGAATCTTCGCTAAGAAGGTTATTTGGTTATAACGCTATTTTGTGTCACCATTATTAGTTGTATTGGTTTAACATTTAAACTACACAGTCATTTTTTTTAAAATAGTGGGAAAGCCTACCACGCTGTAGGATCTCGGGCTTTGGCCCGTCAAAGATATTTCAATGTGTCAGCATAGATTTTAACTATAGGCCTAATTAATTAGTTCATCTATTGTGTCAGTCCCTAAACCTAACTCAACTACGATTTGCGAACAGCATTTAAAAACTCAACTACAAGTAGTGAAACTAACTACTAAAATTATCATGTTGTCACAGCTTTCAATAATTGTTCACTTATCTGTAAAGTTTCTTGAATTATTTGCTAATGGATTCTTTGTTATTTCTTGTCAGTTAAAAGAATGAAACTACACAAATTGTCTGAAGTTCGGATTAAAACTTGATTGCCATAGGCCGGGGCCACACCACGCGGATCATCCGCGTGGATTGAATCAAATGAGAGTGGCCACACGGGGCGATCCTAAGGCCGGGGCCACACGTGGCGGATCGTCCGCGTGGCTTATGATCGCGCGATCATAAGCCGCGCGAAGGTGTCCCGGCCACACGGGGCGGATGAACCGCTTCCGGTTGAGGTTTCTCAGCCTACGTACTGTAAAAGATTAGAACATGGTTTAATTTACTCGTTCTTGTTGTAGTCATGGACGAAACACTTATGTTAGTTTGTGAATTAGAATCGTGTGGTGAGCTAGAGCCTAAGTTTAACCGAAATCATTGGGAATCATCCTTTCATAACCGATAAACCATTTGTGTCCCAGACCTTTTACGAGCACATGCGAAACCATAGTTCGGAGTTTTTTTTTTACTATTGCATGTAGTATCGTTTGACGAGCTACTTCAATTGCTTTGACCGCATATAACTAAAAGGAAGATACACTCATGAGAAATGTACAACATGAGAAATCCTACAGACATGGTTTGTATTAACAAGTTCTATGTATTTGTCTGTATCGAACATTTTACACCTATAAACCAAAACGAACAAGCACAAACTAAAAAAACCAACTACAAATGCTTGAAAATGAGCTCCAACCGCGCGGACAATCCGCATCGTGTGGCCACTCTCATAAGACTACGTGTGTCATCCCCTCCAACGCGGCTTATGATCGCGCGGACAATCCGCGACATGGCGCGGACAATCCGCCCAGGCGGCTTAGGATCGCCCCGTGTGGCCACTGTCATTTGATTCAATGTGTTGTCGTACCACGCGGATCATCCGCGCGGACCGTCCGCGCGGATGATCCGCGTCGTGTGGCCCCGGCCTAAGCCGCCTGGGCGGATTGTCCGCGCGATCATAAGCCGCGTTGGAGGGGATGACACATGTAGTCTTATGAGAGTGGCCACACGATACGGATTGTCCGCGCGGTTGGAGCTCATTTTCAAGCATTTGTAGTGGTTTTTTTTTAGTTTGGGCTTGTGCATTTCGGTTTATAGGTGTAAAATGTTCGATACAGACAAATCAATAGAACTTGTTAAAGATAATGTGGGATTTCTCATGTTGTACATTTCTCATGAGTATATCTTCCTTAGTTATATGCGGTCAAAGCAATTGAAGTATCTCGTCAAACGATGCTATCTACATGCGATAGTAACAAAAAAGACTCCGAACTATGGTTTCGCATGTGCTCGTAAAAGGTTTGGAACACAAATGGTTTATCGGTTATGAAATGATGGACCCAATGATTTTGGTTTGCCTTAGTCTCTAGCTCATCACACGCTTCTAATGCACAAACTAACATACGTGTTTCTTCCATGACTACAACGAGAACGAGTGTATAAACCATTTAGAATCTCAGTACGTAGGCTGGGAAACCTCAACCGGAAGCGGTTCATCCGCTCCGTGTGGCCGGGACATCGTCGCGCGGCTTATGATCGTACGATCATAAGCCGCGCGGACGATCCGCCACGTGTGGCCCCGGCCGAGCGCTGATTCGATTGTTTTGCCATGCAACTTTTCCAGGTGTTCTTCAACCTAAATCTCAATGATATATAGCTTTGCGTAGTTCTGTGATGGGGGGTGGGCCGTCCCCTACTATGGATAATTGACATTAATTGGGGAGTAGGTCAATGACCCTTTTAAAATCTCTGAATATTGTTATATTGTTATATGCTATTGTCATTATTAGTTCCTGTTGTTATTATTATTGTTGCTATTGTAGTTTATGCTGTTGTTGTTTGTTGTTGTTGTTATTATTTTTGTTATCTTTGTTGGCTACACATTTTTATTCATTGTTAATTATATCAAAGATTTATCATTGTTAGTCAACATTGCTCAGATTTTAGTTGTTGTTCTTCTTGTCTTGTCAAGTTTTCTCATTAAGTAGATTCTTAAGCCCCTTTGCATGTTTGGCTTGACCCTTAGTTATAGGAACATTTAGAAAGCATTATATAAAAAAATAATTGTAAATTGGTTTGTTTGGACCGTTGGAAGCAAAATAAAAATAAATAAAAAATAAAATATGCTATAGAATGAGGAAATTGTGGAATTATAGAGTAGAACAATTACCTCCGCCCAAACAAAATAAGTGCTGAAAATACTTTAATGTCTAGCAGTCTACAGTAGACTCATTAAACGCTAAATTAATTATTCCTTTACGTCATCGTGGACAAAGAGCCACTGTGTTTAGCTGTACAGTATAAACTCCAAGTTGAGTGCTGAGTAGTTGTATTAGTCTTAGTATCACACCTTCCTCAACATGAAAATCTAAATAAACATAAATTGTTATTTCAATATTGTTTGCAACAAAACAACTTCAATTGTATTTATTCTCATAACATCTCTACTATTTTAGCTACTAATAAACCATACTCACTTAACTGACAAAACATTATTTAAAGGAATCTTCCAAATACACCAAAATGCACTTGTCCAACACTTCTCTCAACTCGCCACCAAATCACAACTGATCATTGAAGATACAAAATGCCGCCCGCAACACTTTGTCCATTGCCGCTAAATGTGCGTCCGTCGCGGTATTTCCGAGGTAATCCTTCAACACGAACATCAACACGGTTCTCAACGCATCCGTGTCTGCAGGGGTGATTCCCTTCTGCATCTGTTTGTGTTTCTTCCCCAAGTCCTGCAGGATTTTTGTCACTTCACTTGTGTTGTCCATCAAGCACAGGACCTGCCTTAGTGTAGGCATCAGCACGTTGATCATGTGGTTCTTGAACGCCGGTGTGTTCCAGTTTCCATTCACGAAGGTAGATGCGAAGTATTCTTTGACGTGAGGGTGCCTGTCGAATAGTTCTTTAAACAATGCTGTGCTGACGACGAAATAGTCTTGTTCTATCAGCAGCCACACTTCCCTCGCCAACTGTTTGTCCTGGTCCGTCAAATCACTCAGACGAATTCTTCTGCTAGTGGTTTCCATTGACCTTTTATTGGAGGCTCCAGCCATTGAGATGAATAGAATTACTGAGTGTTAAGTAGGTTATGTTTGGGAAATCGTTTGTTTTGAATCACCAGCTGATTACAGGTGTACATCACGGGTTCCCTGAACAACTTTACAGAAAGTACCAGGAGTATTTAGTTGACCTCATAGGGACGAATACAAGTTTAAATTGGCTTTTGTATAATAGCTCTGAGTCCAAGGGATAATTTTGGCTACTGATTCAATACTGTTCAGCTGTAAGTATATGTAATCTTTGATGTAATATCAATGACTACAGAATCATATCTGTGATTGTCTATCTGTGTATAGTTTTCAATGGTAATATTTATTCGAGCCTAAGGACTTACACAAACAGTTTTCTTTTCATAAACTAATGACAGAAATTGCTTCTCTTTAAGTTTTTGGGTTAAGGCGTTGTGTTAGACTATAGTATTGTTCAATGGCATTATGTTAGACTGAATATGAACTAATTTAGAAGTTTGAGCAGAGGTTAAGTACAAAAATTAAACTTGATTGTGACATTGTAGTGTTTTGTTTCATATTGATTTAAAAATTAATTGCTGTTCATACCGAGAGTATTTTTTTATTGCTGGCACTTACCTGTACTGTAGTTGCAAACAACGATCACATTCTCAATAGTAACCGGACTTAAAACACACGCGTAAAAAGGTTATCGATTATACAGCAGAATGGAGGGATCATCTGACAGTTTTCAAAGTCAAACGTAACGGGTTCTAACCTTAAATCAACGTATTATACATTTTTAGGCAGATTTGACCATCCACTCGTCGATCAGCTGATCCTAGTAGTGATATCAACGCCATCTATAATCGTCTCAACAAACATCTGATCAAATTACAGAGCGCGGTCGCCTTCGCCAAATTAAATCACGTTTTGCTCCACATGTTTTCCGCCAGCTCTGCAATTTGATAAATTGATTATTCTCGACTCGCTGCTTCTGATTTATTGGTTAAACTCAGTTTAATCTGAGGAGGCAAATCGATAATTTATTTCCTTCTTTATAACCTGCCTGAACTAAACCGTATTGACATTGTTCGACATCGATATTTTCACTTAGTTACTAAACTATTTATCAGTAACTAAAAAATATGTACATATTTTTTAGTAAATTTTACAATACAAATTACTCAATAAATTTAACAATAAATTTATTGTTAAATGCTTGTTTTTGAATAAATTTATTTATCCTTAATTCTTCATTATTTTTCATGGTTTATAATATATCTAAAGCATCCTGTTCCTAATACAGTACTGTACTTCATGGAACTGCCAAACTATATATTCAGATATGTCCACATATTTTCCCTGGTAATTGGTTGACATTTATCATTTGGCTATTTTGCTTTTAAAAATCATCAGCACTCTTTGAACATTTTCAAATTTTAATTTGACTTTTGATATTTTAATAAAAGGCACCTTAACTACAAGTTTAGTCTTAAATTTGTCTAACTGTAGACATGAGAGGACAATATGTTTGTAAAGAAAAAAAACACGCTACAACGTCAGCACACACTATGAATTAACTCGAGTTAGGTTTTGTTAATCCTGTGGCCGGAGCGGGGAGTTTGTGGTCGCACGTTAATTGCGCCAAAGAATTCCTTAATTGCGCCAAGCCCTCGAGGGTCCCAAAAAATGTTCCTCAGTTGCACCAAGCCCAAGCCAGGTAGGGGTGAGTTGCCGACAGAAGGAATAACCTTGTTTACGTGTCATCCTAACCTATCCTAACCTAACCTAACTTAACCCAACTTAACCTAACCTAACTTAACCCAACTTAACCTAACCTAACCAATTATACAGTCAAAGAGAGCCGCCACTTGCGACCAACGATGTAAATAACATGAGTTGTTTATATTGTTGATTGCAACCCCGTTGATAAACTTATCGGGTGGCTCTTTGGAATAGTTGGCGCAATTCACGAATAGCCTACAACCTAACTCAGGTCAGTTGGCGCAATTAATGCCCGCCTAAGTTTGCATATCTCGGTTTAAAATGCTGTAACCCAACAAATTCGAGAGTCCTGAATGTTGGTGGCCAGGAAATACTTGAATTACTTGACATGAGAAAACACTAAATTAACAGGGGCATTTGTTTGTTTACATATTTGGTGAAAATTAGTTGTTTGGAAATCGTTTAAAACACGCCATGAAATAAAAGGTAATCTGCACGTTGAAAATGTTAAATGGTATACCATCGGTAACAACAATAAACATGCAACCGGTGTCTCAGCACTACCACAAACATGCTTGTAAACTAAACCACGTCGCAGTTAACTCTCCAAAACATCCTGTACCATAAAAAAGTCAAAAGAAATCAGTGTTAAGTTTGAAAAGTTTTGCCGGGAGCCCTGATTGGCTGCTCGGTGCTACATAAAGCACCATCAGTAATTGGCACACCTCTGGTGCCCCTAGGTGGCTCACTTGTGCTGCCGTCTTTGACAGTTTTATTGGTGACGTTTTGACATAAAATAGAATCCCTTGGAATCCTAACCTATGTTCGCGGAGGATCCAGGGTTGTAAATCCACTTATGAGTTAAATTGCCTCTTAATTCGCGTTATGTGCGATTTAGTGCGTGAAGAAGTATTTCGTATTTCTGTTGTATCCAAATATGACCTAAGTAATTTGTTTGCAGATATTTATATATACTAGAGGTCGTCCAGTGGTCAAAACTCGACCAAAAATATTTAATGTACAGACTTCTTTATTTTCATTCCACACTTTGAATAGAACATGTGATTGGAGTTTCTTCCATTTGTTTTGATTTTCTGTTTATATTTTGTTGTTATTTCGTCACCAGCATGGCAACTCATAATATCCATGTTAAATTTTTCAAAATTTTAAATTAATTTTTTGTGCTTATTTTTTAGCCTATTTTAATTTATAAAGGGATTCTGCACACCTACAGGAAAATAGCTTTCTAACAGTATGCGTAGATTTTCCCTACGATGCACACCAGCTGAGAAAAAAGGTTTTAAAGAAACATGCTTGCCTATTAATATATAGATACATGTATATCAATTTGAATATCATTAATTTGTCTCGGCTATTCGTCAGTATCTAGCCTAGGTAGATGAATAAATAAGAGTCAGGTACAATTTTATTCTAGGCACAGTTGAATTTACTTTTTGATACAGCGTTCTAAAAGGCCAAATAAACACATTTTCCCGTCATGAGGGCCAAATGTATTCCTTAATCTTACAAAGCAATTACCATAAATTTGACTGGATCAATGTAATAATGTAATAGATATCCTGAACTCCTCGGGTATCTGAGTCCATCAGCGGGGGCCCTAACTTCACATTGAAAAGTATTAAAAAGTATTGGAATCTTACAGATGTAAATTATGTTGTTTTGCAGCATGTTAGATAGATACCACTGTTAGTTATTCCTTTAAGAGATTTGCGAAATTGCGACATCTTTAACCTCGCATTTGTCTGTTCATATAAGCCAAATATAGCCTGTGCGTGAAAATTATCTAAGTTAAGGGGTGAGCCGGTACAGTACAAGGGTGAACTGAACTGATATAAAGTAGTGGTAGGTACCAGGATCCGAACCCACGACACGCTGTCTTGGGCCAAAAGTACTTTGCGCTCAGACTGAGCCACCGACTCGCCAAATTATATGATAGATTTGTTACTTCTCTGACATTAGAGGATATTGCTTTTTAACGCAACAACTTAATTGAATAAAATGAGCCTACGTAGGTCTGCAATAAAATCTAAAGAAATATTTTATTTATGAAGAATTTGAGTAAACTTCTAGCTATCAAAACAATGTACACTTAAATAAAAATTCAAGTTGCTAAACGCAATGTACAGATTTTACTCTTTCCAACGTTCACGACACCAAACAACTTTTTTTAAGAACACTGAGATAGTACACTATCTCAATTAAACGTTTGTGCCCAGTTAATTGGTTGGCTACTTTAATCAGCTGTTCAACAAAGACCAATCAGCTGATCCATTCAATCACTTGCACCCGTCTGATTGGCTGGCAGGCTTCACACGGCTTATGTTTGCCTAATCTAATTGGTTCCCGAGATTTTATAATTATAATCGCTAGACCGGGTGTGGTTGCATAACATCTGACCCGGAGAGTTCAGGTCGAGCTGGTCCTATGAATATTACGACACTAGCTTTATATCCACTGAGAATTAGAATACTGTCTGTAATAAATGTTTCGGGGGCTTCGCATTAAATGATTTCTTTTCATACACACGATGCTGTTGGATTTCTATTTGATTGATAGATTAAAAATATATTTTATCGTAATATTGACTAGGTATTACTTACATTGTTGCAATACATTATAAAACAAAATGTTTGGATGCTTTTTAACCGCTATAATGGATAGCTATTAACTAACCATTTGCGCTGAGCATACAATAGAGGATCAAAATTATTTTCCAATATCTAAGGTCTTTGGGAATGTAACCGGTGCGTGATGAACACTTTACTTTTGTACTTTGCCATCCTCAATTCGGAAGAAAATCCACGAAAAGGTTTCATCTTTACAAAACTTAAAACATGCCACTTTTATCTTCACGTTTCATTGATGTGTGATAATGTCATGCTCTTGAGGGAGATTGGAAAAAAAGAAAGAGGAAACAGACTGATATATAATTCCAAAAAGAAATTGAACAACACTTTAGGCGAAGCAGCTTTAGCGTCGATTCGGGTCCATTGCTACGTCAGAGACGTACTTTTGCGAGTGTGCGCTTGCGAGTGCGGGCGTCGCTTTTCTGCCAAATTAAGACATCGATCAGCTGATAAAGCTAATTAAACAACCACTCTATAATGAGTTCTGTAGCCGGGGGCAGAGAGTTCGCATCTCTCAAATTTATCGGTTCAAAATAACACAGCCTAATTCGAGACACCTGAATGTTGGCAGCCATGAAATATTTTAATGGTTTGAACTTTTAAATGATTTGTTACGCCGTTAGCAATACGTAGCAATATCGTTTATGAGTAAAATCTTTATTTAAACCATTTCACAGGTTAATAGATGGATATTTGCA